CGAAATTTACACTGCACTTAGTAGATAAAATGCATGAATAAAAGGAGATGTCTATCCTACAATACTATAAGATATATAGTGGTATTACGCTTAAATGTGTTTTTTTTTCCAGCTATGAACTTCGAATGCACCCTTAGTAGCATCCACTATTATTGTATTTAATAAATTTTAATATCTTCCTAATTATGAATTACAGGCAGCTTCGGTTTTATTATCTAAAACTCTTCATTTATTATTAAAGAAAATTCATATTTCTTCGAAAGGGAAACATCTCTAGTGGCATGGTCAATTATTAAATCGACAAAAAAGACTATTAAGACGGAGAGTATGGAAACTATCAGGTTGCATGCAATACACGTGTAACCGAAATAAAAAAAAAATGGGTGACTTAAAGTTGTAATCCTAATGCTTAGCAAATTAAAGGTTTGATTGGCTTGCTTGCTTGTTTGTATAAATGTTTGATCTGTAATCAATAGATAGACAGGGCTTCAACTTGTATGCATTGCTTAACTTCCAATAACATTTATAAGTATAATGTATACAAGCTGAAGCCCCATCTACCTATTGATAGCAGATGTCAATCTTAATTACAATGTTTGAGCAAACATTTATACAAACAAGGGAAGCAAGTCAACCAAACCTTTAACTTGTTAGCATAAAGATAACAGCTTTAGGTATTTTTTTAGTCTGATTGAAAAAGACGTCACAATGTCCAACACTTGAAGACCTTATCAACCACTTATTCAAAGGAAACCATTGTTTATTGTTAAATACAAAGTATGTTGTTTGGATAAGATTACTAATGCATTACTATCAATCTTGTTCTTCTGGTGGGGCAATTTGTTCAATATTTTCTTAATGTACCTTCTTCTAACGTTATTTATTTTCTTCTATCGTTAACACTTTATCAAACCCTTTTTTGAAATTGATACAAATATGCATACACGTCTTTACTTAATTATAGTAACAGAAGATTAAGAGTATGTACTCAAGATTGTACATTAAACCATATGAACATAACTTAGGGCTTTTTATAAAAAAGCAGGTCCTCAAAAAAAGACAGTTTATACAATGATATATACATATGTACACAGATAAAAGATAAGAAGCAGTTTTACTTGAAGTAAGTATCGAAACGACGGTTTTTTTTTTGCTTTTTTTTTGCTGAATAAACACAAAATTAATCAATCAATCAATCAAATTTTAATCAAACGATACAAAATTCAAGATATCATCTAATCCATTAAAGAAGTCTCACTTAAATAACCACAAAGTGTACATCATTTTAACACCATTGAAAAGGACAGTCACTGAACTAGAGGCTCTAAAGAGCCTTATCGCTTTCCAAGGTCAATGTGCATCTTCAACAATGAACACTCTCCAACATTGTAGACTAGAATAAATCTCATGACTATAATATCTTTTTTGTTGATCTTGTATAGCCAATAATATATATTTCTGTTTAGTTTCTTCTGTATCTTCTATAAATTTTTTTTGCACAAAACACAAAAAGGGTAAACATAGCCATAAGATGAAGAACAGCAATAAGAGTGCTGGTCCTTTGCGTTTTTTCTTCTGTATGTTTGTTTAGGTTTTTTTTTTTTTGCTGTGCATGTACTGATTCTGTGTCATGGATGGATACCCCATATCATTTCTTTTCTAATATTTAAAGACCATAACTCCTATAAGAAGTATAAAAAATGCAAACAAATTGGTATAAATTGTCATTCAAGGGCAAAAACTCCAATAAAGAGTCGGCTGTTTGACTTTTTTGTAGATCTTGTCTTGCTGATCATTGTTTTTAATTTAAAGTTAAAAATTGTTAAAAGTTGTTTTGTTTATTAAAGCTTATTATAGATTTCATGATAATAGACAAAACTAGTAAAAACAATGGTAAACATCGTCATTAAGGGGGCAATAAGTCCAATAAATACTGGGTGACGATTCGGGATAAGTCATTAAGGGGTCAATAAGTCCAATAAGAACTGGGTGACGATCGTAAAGGGGGCATAAGTCCAATAAGAACTGGGTGACGATCATTAAGGGGTCTATAAGTCCAATAAGAACTGGGTGACGATCATTAAGGTGGCAATATGTCCAATAAGAACTTGGTGACGATCATTGAGGGGGCAATAAATCCAATAAGAACTGTGTGATGAATATAAAGGGGGCAATAAGTCCAATAAGAACTGGTGACTATCATAAAGGGGTCAATAAGTCCAATAAGAACTGGGAGACGATAATAAAGAGGTCAATAAGTCCAATAAGAACTGGGTGGCGATCATAAAAGGGGCAATAAGTCCCAAGAAGAACTGGATGACGATTCGGGATAAGCCATTAAGGGATCTATAAGTCCAAAAAGAACTAGGTGACGATCATAAAGGGGTCAATAAGTCCAATAAGAACAGGGTAACGATCATAAAGAGGTCAATAAGTCCAATCAGAACTGGGTGACGATCATTAAGGCGGCAATATGCCAAAAGAACTGGATGACGATCACTAAGGGGCAATAAGTCCAATAAGAACTGGGGACGATCATAAAGGGGTCAATAAGTCCAATAAGAACTGGGTGACGATCATAAAGAGGTAAAAAAAAGTCCAATCAGAACTGGGTGACGATCATAAAAAGGGGCAATAAGTCCAAGAAGAACTGGGTGACGATTCGGGATAAGCCATTAAGGGATCTATAAGTCCAATAAGAACTGGGTGACGATCATAAAGGGGAAATAAGTCCAATAAGAACTGGGTGACGATCATAAAGGAGTCTACAAGTCTAATAAGTACTGGGTGACGATCATTAAGGGGTCTATAAATCCAATAAGAACTGAGTGACGATCATAAAGGGGGCAATAAGTCCAATAAGAACCGGGTGACGATCTTCAAGGGGCAATAAGTCCAATAAGAACTAAATAACGATTCGGTATAAGTCCTCAAAAGGTCAATAATTCCAATAAGAACTGGGTGACGATTCGGAATAATTGACTTACTACGTATTTGTAGATATTGTCTTGCCGATTATCATAGCCCTTAGAGATTCTCTCTATCAATTATATCGGCCCGAAGATGCATGAAATATTTGCCACTGGACGTTTAACAATCAACAATCAATCAATTAACCCATCTATTATAGTTTCAATATAATACTAATAGTTAAAAATGGAAAAAAATGGTAAAATTCGTCAATTCAAAACAGATTAATAAAGTTGTCTGACAGTTTTGATGTTTATGAACAGCAGGTAGATATCAACATGCTGAATAATTGTGTTCTAGTACTAAGTTAAATTTTTCATTTTTGCTATAGCGGTTTTTAAGATATTAGACAAAAATTACATTTTATCACTATGTCCATTATTGGCCATGTTAGCCATGGTTTGAAGACGGAGTCATCGGAAGGATTTTAAAACTAGATACCCCAATGATGACTGTGGCAAGGTTTGGTCAAATATGAGAAAATATTTGTTAACTGACGACGACGACAAACGACGGACGGCAACTGATGAAAATAATACTCGTGAAAAAGTTCTATTAGAGCCCATTCATTCATCTAATCATCGCTATCAAACATTTAATTCCAACTTTTAACCAGGACATGACAGTGGTACGTGTAATACCGTTCCAATTATTATCTTGTCAACTGACCACCCCCCTCCCCCCCCCCCTCCCTTTTTTTATCAAATATCACCAAGTATATTAGAAAAAACCTATTCCTTTAAAACCTGCAATACAAATATCTTACTGTCCTCACAATTGGGAACCAATCGATTCAGAATATTGTTTTGTATGAAAATGATGAATGGTTTAGACAATAGCTTAAAAGTAATAAATGCAAACACACTTTATTCACTTACAAAAAATCATATAAAATTTACAAGCAAAATAAATCACACATTGGTGGAACGATCTGTATTGATAGTCCTTTTTATTTTATTTTCGGAGATTGATAGTTTGTCTGTATGTTTCTGACATTCCCGTGTCCGATAATCCAGTAACTACAATCCTCAGTTCATTAATATCTTTGGAAATGTACACGTTTCTGGAGAATTCAGTTGTTGATATGGGCATTAGTATATCACTGCTTCCATCCATAGATCCAATGGCCACTTCATAATGCTCTAAAAGTTCAGTAAACACACCTGACCATTCTACTTTATAATCGTTGTCATTCAGATGTTCAATTATTACTTGTTTACCTTCAAAACAAATTATAAGTTTGCAAATTGTTAACAAATTTATGTTTTCAAAACAATTTTAAGATGATATAAGTCTTTTAATAAGTATATGTACCTGAGATAATAAAAAAATGATGATGTCAAGGAAAAAGTCCGATAAGGGCTAATTTTGGCCTAAAATTTGAAGTACATCTGATGAAAGATTTTTATATTTTTTTAAACATTAAGTGTCTACTTCAGTCGATTAAATTAGTTTCTGTAAATATGCCATAAAATGTCACTTTTCAGATGGTTTTTGTCTAAAATGTAAGTTGCCGCATTCGTGTTCAGTCTCAACCTTTATATATGTTATATATTACCATCAAATACAACATATATTTAAATATTAAGACTGAACACAAGTGCGGCAACTTCCATTTTAGACAAAAACCGTCTAAAAACTAGCACAAATGCTAAAATTGTGAAATTTGCAGTAATTTTGCATGAATCAATGATGCTAGTACCTGATGCATGTGGATTGTATTGTCAAAAAGAGCCCATATTATGTAACAAAAGTACTCTACTTTCCAATAAATAGATAAAAGTTTACACTAAACAAATTTGTAAAAATGATATGTTTTGAGGCAAAAAAAAGGGCCTTACCTGGCTTCTCCTTGGTAACGTAAAAATAAAAAAAAAAATAATACAGATGCTCAAGAAAATCATGTAAAATATGTCTTTGCATGAATGTACGATAATAAATCTTGTTTTGTGCATTATGCTGCTGAGAGAAAGAGTTTTTTTTTTTAATTTCTGTGCGCTAACATAAGATTTGAATATAATATGAATTATTTATCTCAATATAAACTTGAACATCCTTTTGCTAAATAAAGCATTACGGATATTTAAATCATAGTTCTTCTCTAGTTTACCTGTCAGGACTGGTCTCTTTTTGTGTACTGTAATCGAATTACTGATAATTTGACTTTCCTTTCCTCCAAGGTTTCGCCCTGTCACACATACTGTGTAGTTCTGGTTCTCCTTCATCCCAACGCCAGAAATGCGAAGGTAATTTTTGTTTTGAACGTCTATCCAATCAAGGAGCGTGACGCCATCATGCGAAAGTTGAGCACTATAAGTCTTTAGCTCGGAAAGGTCTTCAAATGCACCCCAATGTAATGTAAAGGAGTGGTCATTACTTTGCACGAAGGAGTTAGTACTTGTATCTGTTATGAATTGTATCTTTGAGTTTGTACTATCTGGTGGCAAGTAGGATACAAAGGAGGGTCCATAATGACCATAACCAGTAAGCTGTACTTTGTTGATGCAACGAATAGTAGCAAATACTTTACATCCGTGGTTGGCATGGAACGGTTTTGTTTCAAATGATGTTAACTCTGATGTATGGGTCATTTTTACTATATCGCATGACGTCGAGGATGAACCTACAAATTAATGAAATAAATTATGTGTATATGATAAATGTAGATTACATACTATTTTCCGTACATTATTCAGAGTCTCCAAATCAATCAAAACATTTCACCAGTTTTTGATGTCGAGAGATGATATGGAAACAATGTTCATCATACTTCACTACTATGAATTCATTTATTCTCGTGAGTACAAATGTTCGTGGATGAAAGAAAAATTGTTTTTTTTTTTCGTTTCGTTTTGTTACTTTAGTTTGTATATTAGCCTATAGGAAATTTGTACTTGAACATTTAAATGCATGGTTCACTTTACCCAAAAATCCACGAAAATGGGTATCCCATGAATAATAATGAAATCACAGTAACACGATTGTATATTTGGCCTGTTGTGTTAAAATTATGAATAAACTGTACAACTGTCAGTGATGAAATCTTCCGTTAACTTCAAACAGACAATATACAAATTAAGGAGATGTGTTATGATTGTCAATGGAACATATAAAGGGAATCATACCCCCCCCCCCAAAAAAAAAAAACAAAAAAAACAAAAAAAAACGTACAAATTCACAGGTGTCTATACGATATGTCTACCAATGAATCTTCCAGAATTTATAAAATAATAGAAACCATCAAAGGCCACCGTTATAAAAGTAAAGAACGAAAGAGTAACTCATTTTTGTACCAATTAGTCATCTTCAATTTACATTAATACAACGAGAAATGAAATTAGAAAAAAAGACACCGTTCTCATTATATCATTATAAGGGATTCAGACTGAACCCTGCATATACACAACAGCTATTTCGCATTTTATAAGGTATGTCTGTCTTCGGAGAATTTGATGATACTATAACTATAGATTATTACATGGCATTTGCCATATCGGCCCTTGTATCAGCCCGAGACTCCCATATCGGACCGAGGGCTTTTATCTGTTTATCACATATTTAGCCTATGAAATTGGAACGAAAAAGTTTGCTTTTAATTTGTGTTTGTTTGTTTGTTTAGTGTTCAATTTATACCGTCCGATAATTCCTCAATAATTCCTGTAACCACATCTGGTCTTCTTCGACAATCAACAAAGATGTATTGATGAGTTTGTTTGTTGGAAAGCCGCGCTGTTCAAACATGTAAGTCTCAAAGAATGTTCATGACTCTCCAAACCGGAAGAGGGCCGATATGGATTTTGCACGCGAAGGCCAATATGGTTCTCCCATTGAAATTGCATTGGAAGCTCATATTGGCCCCGGTTATTTGCCTCGGGCAGCAATATGACTTAGGCAAATCAGCGTTTATTACACATGCAAAACCCAATGTATTCGTAACGAATATGTGATAAATACATATATAGGCTAACACACATATATAATAAAACATCGGTATTCTTACCAATACAATATTCACAGTAGATGACTTGAATCTCATCATCTATTACATACCACCTAGATTTTACCATAACTAACGTCTCGTTATTTGTCAACAAATATTCCAGAGTTGTTCTGTTGTGACTGATATGTGGAGGGGTTTGATCAAAAACGAAAGAGCGTGACGTGAAAATTGTTTTTAAGCCAGCATGGTTTTCAGCTTCTGCTTTAACGTACAGATTTATTCCGTGACTAAAACGTCCTGTTATTACCTGATGCATATGTGATGACAAAGGATATAAACTTTGTATTTCGAACCCGTTTGGTATGCTGCCAACACCAACGTTAATATGTTTAATGCCACTTTCCAAATCGACTGTTTGAACGCATACTGATATCGCATCTTGTGATATTTGCTGGGCTGATATGATTTCTGTTCTGTTGAATTCGTATTTGATATTCGAACATTTGGATATTTCAAAGTCAGTTGTGGTATTGTGTTGAGTACCAGTTATAATCACTGAAGCATTTGGTTTACCGGACTCGTGTAACATATATTCATATTCAGTAATCGCCGAACCACCCGCGTTCATTGCGTAAGGTAAGAGCATTGTCATGTCACCGATCGTCAAATATGATTGAAAATCGATCTTCGGACGGTTAATTTGTATTTTTATGCGGAAAACATCATGTACATCGCCATTTAACGCCTCTGACATTTCGAAACTATCTGTACTTGCTTTGAAATTCACGTGTTTAAAAAGCTGGAAATTTAAACATGTAAAGGAGATTGGAGAAGTTGCGTCGATTTGTATTGTTTGTGACATAGCCACTTTGCTGTCATGACCAGCCTTATCTCTTGCTTTTACATAAGCTGTAATTTTGTCCTTGTGTTTTATGGTATCGGCAAACAAGACATGATCAGACATTCCCACAGGAATAAAAAATTTCGACAATATTTCAACCGCATGTTCCCTCTTGGTGTCAAATGCTACAAAGTACGAATCTATAAAGGAGTGTTCGTCATCAAACCCATGCCAGGAAAATTGGACAGGTTCATCAGAAGACTGGAATATAACATCTTTGTGGTGTTTAGTGTTGTAAACTATTCCCGATACCGGAGGGATGTCATCAACAACAAAGCCATCCGAACTTACATCAGATTGAAGTCCAATGATGTTAACGGCTCTCACAGTAGTGTAATATCGTGTACCTGGTTGAAATTTTGTATCTGTCCATGTAATGTTGAATGTATTACCGACATCTTTCATTGGTAAAATGTCATCTACTGAAAAGGCAAACGAAATTTATATAATGATAATTATATTTAATTTGAAACCACAATTTAAATAAAAATTCTTATGCAAATGCAAAAACTGCTTAAGTCAATAGAATTATATTATGATAAAACCTTATCTTGACCTTCACTATAAGATAAGCTTATGAGATTCTGTTTAAGGTTGGTGATTGTCATTTGTTGGTAATCTTATTCATTTTCGTTCCGTGTAGATTAATAGACATTCACGTAAGAGTTGCTGTATTCATGTTGTTTTGTTGAGTTTTTGTTACCCATTTTTTTTCCTTCTACTTGCTGAAATTAGTACCTTTCTTCTTGAATTGGAACAAGTTAAAACAAATATTAATCATATTAATACGGCAGTAAATATCAATTAGTGATTACAATTGTGTTTGTGAATAAAGGAAGATGTGGGGTATACGTCAACAGGATAGCAAACAAATTTGGCCAGAATCATTATTGAAATATTAAGTTCATGTTTTCGTCATAAAAACGGCATCTTTCGAAGTGTCATGAAATTCTATGAAAGTTTGACAATCTTATTGATCTCTTAACAAATTTTCACCCCAGACTGTATCTTTATATCGTCAATGTTAACTGCAAAGTCCTGTTATCAGTAAAATACGTCGAAATATGTAAAAAGTATTTTTCAAAATTTTACTCTGGATACTGTCTTTTTGGTCATAAAGATCTTCTCTCTAAGTTTCTTTATAGATATATTACAAAGTTACAAAGTTGGTAAACACAGAAAAATATAACTATTAATTGTACCTTAATGTTAACTGCGAAAAAGAAACTAAGTGCGTTGTTCAGAAAAATACGGAAAAATGAAAAAAAAATCAAAAAAAAATCAAAGTGTTGCTTTAGATACTGTCTTCGAGGCACAAATAAGATTCTGCACAAATTTCATCAAATTTCCTAAAAGTTTGACGATGTCGGAAAGTAGGATCGTAATGTCTCGCTTCCGTTAAGCCTCAACAAAAATTATCATGAATTATCATTATCAGCAATCCAAAATCAACAAAAAGGATATTTTAGCCAGGACTTATATTCAAGACTACATTGTTTGAGAGGGACTATTGTTGAAGATTCACATGGATACCGATGAGTGACAGGCTCCTTAATGCGTCTATTTGCTAAAACAAGTCAAAATAAAACGAGAAAAATCATTTTTTTCTACATACCATTCTGTGACATTCCGAGGGAGACCATGATAGTTTTTATATAACTTTCATCTTCAGAAAATACACCCACCCAACATGCTGATATACTATCGTTAGATGTAATGTAATCCACATCCTGGTTACAAGACAGAAGAGAATCCATTACAAAATGTTTTTTGTGGATCACAGGTGGAGTGTGATCAATAATTACAGGGTCCGACTCGAATATTGCATATTCGTCTAACGAGGTCCAGGCCTTAACATAGGCAACATAAAGTGTCTTGTGGGTAAGCTGTGTTTTTAAAAGGCAGTGAAACGCCTCGGTTCTTCTTCCAACATCATACCAAATATTTTCATGGCTTAAATTAAAGACGCCCAATCCAATAGCTGCTCCCTTAATTCCAAAACTATATTCAAATCGAATAACATGTTCGTTGGATTCATATGCCCAGTGAGAACCCATGCATCGAGTTGAACCAACAACACTGAGTTCAGGGTCATCAGTTTTTACGGAAACTTTTACATTAATTATGGGTGTGATCTTACTGGTTAAGTTTTTGCAAGAATTTCGGTCATCAGACAAACATTTCCGGCCAACAACACCACATGTACAGTCGCACCTGCAGTCATATTCACAGAAATATGTATCACACGAATGCATTTGAATAAGAAGATTTCCTTTCGATCGATCATAATTATTAGCTAGCAGGTCCGTTGTCACTTTTGCTTGGCTCGTCATGATTCCGGCATTATTTTCTGCCCATATAGTTAAAACAAAATAGTTCCTTATCGAGTCCGACATATTTGCCACTATTTGTGATTGTTGATAGTCAGAAGTAGTGGTTGGAACGATTTTGTAGCCATCAACTAATTGTGTCTCGCTATAAGTATAACCTACCGAGATATAGTAGGATCGTATATCCGTTTCCACGTCAAAAAATCCATACCAGGACAAATTTAAATAAAGTTTATTAGTTACGTTTTGTATTTCATATTCTAATGGTGATCTAAATCCACCAATTTGTGGTGGTGTCGAGTCAACCAAAAATTCGTCACTTACAGCTGAGGTACACATCGATGCAGCATTGCATGACGTAATCTGAACAATATAAACATCTCCTTGTCGCAAGATATTGTTCTCTGTCAAATGAACTGCAAATTCTCCTTCATTTGAAATAAAAATGTCATCAACGGGCTTATGTGAATCACGATTACTGTATATAGTTAATATTGTTTTGATAATTGAACTTTCACTATCTCTGAACTTCCAAAATACTTTAAAAAAGGAAGGATCGAATATAATTTGGCGAGAGGTTGTATTATCTTGGTGTATACTTAAAACACGTGGTTTGTCAATTACGACAGGTGGAGTGTTATCAACTATAAAACTGGGTGAGGATCTCTTCGTACACAAGTAAACCTTATTGCATGCAGTTACGGATACGAAATAGTGTACACCAACTGACATATTAAGCTTTGTTTTGATAATCGAGGAGGCAAGGTGTACATTTAAGGATTTCATTACATCACACGTATCGATAGAACTCCCAAGGCAAACCTCAAAATGGTCAATACCGGAATGTGGATCTTCAAATCCTAGCCAAGATGCATGAATAGTATGTCTATAAGATAAATTGATATTAGGATTTCTTTTGTTGAAAATAAAATATTTAGTCTTGTAAGAATTTATGTTTAAAAATATGTTTTATTTTAACAAAGCCCAGCTGTCTTTTCCTCGATTGTGACATCACCGAATTATAACTTACCACGAACAACATGACGGATGCCACAAGTCAAGCAGGATCTGCGTATCCTGTTGGAGCACATGAGAGAACACCCAAGTTTTGATGGGGTTTGTGTTTTGTTTCTATGAAGTGTTTTGAGAACCTTTCTGTTTTTTTTGTCGTCCCTTTTCGCAATGGCTTCTCAGCTGTCCTACTATGACCTTTGAATTTCCCCTTGGTACAATGCAGCTTCTTCCTCTTTATTTTATCTAATTGCAATCAAGGGTAGTGCGACATTACGAGAGTTAAAACGCATGAAATGAAAATTTTTTAAGCGTTATTAATTTAAAACTGAAAAAATGTTCAATTCGAATCCAGAATTTAAAATATATCACTCACCTGTCAGATATAAAATTTGAATGTTTGCCCGGTTCTCCCACAACAACCAAACCAGGTACTGGAGCAGAATTATCAATTATTGTCCCGTTAGATGTCGCTGTGCTACAAAGACCTGCTCCATTACACGCTTCAACTGTTGAGTAGTATATAACTCCTTGTGAAAAAGACAATGCCCATGCTTTAGCTGAAATGAATAATACAATTGAATATTTCTATTAATTATGTGTTGATTCAAGAATACCATAGTCTGAAGGAAATTTTTCAATATCGGTTTAATTGTATATTGGTCCTTTGTTTAAAAACTGAAAATGAAGAAAATATGACAAAGGTTGTTCTCATTCTTCTTTTCTGAAATCAGTATGCAAAATCTTGATGATGTAACTAACCCTGGTATCTTTTGTAAGGTCTTGTTTTCCCAAAATCTCTTGTTGTAGGTAGGTAATACACGATATCTCCGTGTTTTAGGTGTTCGTTTTCATATTATAAAGTTAAGTACATGTATTAAAATGCAATTCAAAACACAAGATTACCAGAAAAAAATATGAAACAACACATATCATAATCTTTAAATGTGTTGTTATTACCCCACATTTGTTGTTATTCAAAACCGGATTTGAGCCTCGTTGTTACTTTGATAAAGATAAAAAGACACAGAATTGCCGTCTCTATTCTTTTAAGTTTTTAAAGTACATGTATGTACTATTTAATGACCTCTTGCTTTCCTTTTTTACATTTATTTTGATTATCAAGTCTTGATTTTTTTTTACACAAATTGCTACAGATTGTGTTGTGTACTTACATGTGTGTAAACTAACATTGGTTAATTTCATTACATCATCATTACCATGGGATGTTCCTAGTCCTATTTTGTAATAGATCACGTGTGAATGTGGATCATAGAAGCCAAGCCAGCTTGCTCTTATAATATTTGTTTCTGTTTGGTAGTCGACGTCTATCTGCAATATAAACATATCTGATTGAACTTACTGTTGTGTCATATATTGACTTATATGTAGAAATTGAGAATGATCGGTTAAGAACTAAGATTTACCACATAAGAAACACATGTATTTTCCCCATTAAAAAATCCATGGTCGCTTTATTATTTTTTTGGTTGCCCATAACGAGAGTATCCGTCACAGATATATGACCAAAGACATGTTCCACGTGTTAAATATATAAAATCAATCTCGAATTTCACGAATGCATGTGCAACAGGATGTGTGCTACTAATGGATCATCAGAAATGGCAAACTATATAGCAGCACATTAGTTCATCCCTTTTGACTCTCAGGGTTCGTGTTGTTTTTTTCTCCTTTTGACAATGTCTTTTTTATCGATTATGGTTTAGTTTGCCTCATTTTATGGATTATGGTTTAGTTTGCCGCATTTTTATATTCTCCCCTTTACATTTATTTATATTAATGTTAATTAGTGATCCTACTATTAGCTGATATTTCATCTTCTTAGGTTATAGTGTTAACTTTTTGACATATTCTTTTGGTACGTCTCCAAACTTTGTTTACTGTCTATAATTAGACGACAAATCAAACTATATTCATATCTTATGCTTTAACATTTATATGTTCAAATGGAAAGCACTGAAGTGTTTCTGACAATAGCGTTTAGACTGCCGATGTTTACCTTGGAATCTAGATCGAGGACATCCATTATTTGACCGCCTACAGGTGGCGTGGCATCAATTACAAATGGGCTTGAAACAGTAAAGGAGGAAAGTCCAGCTCCATTTGTAGCCTTCGAAAAAAAAACATGACACCAGTAGTTGAAATTGAGTTTAATACAGATTTAATTGGACTTAATTAAATTAAATAAACTTGCCAGTTGATAGCTTAAAAAGTTATTATATTATATAATTTTTTTTTTTGTTTATTTCGTCGTTTATTGTATTCGAGACATAAGAAATACAGAAATTTTAACATGTTGAAGGAATAACGAAACATCTGAGAGAAGTCCATTAATTGTAATATACTAAAATGAATGTAAAAATAAACAAAAACAAAATAGTAAATACCTTTAAGATAGCAAAGTATCGATGACCATCTTGTACGCATTGATTGGTACTTATCAACCCATAATTTTCAAATTCTTGAAAGGGAATAATGTCAGCAGATCTGTTTGATGAACCAATACCAATTTCAATTTTACGAATACCACTTTCATTATCCTCAATTTCATTCCATTCCACAGAAATTTCATATGACGAAACAACATATAGTAAGCTGCTTTCAACTTGAATGATGCCAACTGGTGGTGGAGAGTTATCATATATAACACCATCGGAATAAACATCCACTGTTTTATTGCGATGATTATAAGCTGAAATTATAATTAGAAGTGTTGGTGTATATTCTTAAAATCATGTGCATGCATCTGTTAATGTTTCCACGAAGTATACATACTAGAATTCCTGACACACTAATCGCATTTGACGTTTCTGGGCTAAAGATATGTCTTTTGGAACTATCAAAATATAATTTTCTTTAAAAAAAAATAGACATATATAAATAAATGTAAAACTGCGATTTAATGGACAATAAAATTGAGAATGGAAATGGGGAATATGTCAAAGAGACAACAACCCGACCAAAGAGCAGACTGGAAGTTATGTATAATTTGTAACTCAAACAATCACACATGTTCTTTATATAATTGCAATTTTGAACTATTTCAAATATGTATAGAATAGCATAACTATATATTATATATTATTCTATTTGAACCCTAGTGAATAGTTTATGTAGTTGTCTTATTGGCATTTATATACCACATCTCTTAGTTTAACAAGTGAAGTACTATTTTTGTCATTATTTTTTAAGTAGACTAGTCTAAGTTTTGATACATTCATATTGGTATGCATTGCAATTATGTAAAACGTCATAAAGACTTCACGTAGTTCGAATGGATAACAACTGTCATATTCCTGTTTTGGTACAGACTTGGTAACTAAATTCCAAAAAATGTTTTTTCTAATTACCTCTAACTGTGACAAAATATATTTGTCCAGCCCTAAGGAGTATATCTGTAGCTACTACTGATGTTTCCAAACCAACCGTGGTAAAACCAAGTAAATCACTAGCACCAGGGCTAGATCCTTTAATGTAAACACAACAATTTAAGAAAAACGTACAATTTACACACTTGAAAAGATAAAATTGAGAATGGAAACGGGGAATATGTCAAAGAGACAACAACCCGACCAAAGAGAAGAACACAGACGAAGGCCACCAGTGGGTCTTCAACACAGGGAGCGGAAGCGGGCTTCCGCTGGCCACTAAACAAATGTGTACTAGTTAAGTGAAAATGGACGTCATACTAAACTTCAAAACATATAACTGAACTAAAATTAAAAACCATACAAGACTAACAAAGGCCAGAGGCTCCTGACTTGGGACAGGCGCAAAAATGCGGTGGGGTTTAACATGTTTTGTGAGATCTCAACCCTCCCCTATACCTCTAACCAATGTAAAATAAACAAACACACAGCAATACGCACAGTAAAACTCACTTTAAAAGAAGTCAGAGTCCGATGTCAGAATAGAAACTAAGCAAAATGACAATAATACATAAATGAACAAAGGTCTACTAACAGTTACTGACATGCCAGCTTCAGACCTCAATTAAACTGATTGAAAGATTATGTCTTCATCATATGAAAATCAAGTACAATCCAACCCGTTAGGGGTTTAGTATCATACAATAATAAAATATATGAGAAGAACATAACCCGTATCATGCCAACAACTGGTTTTAGAACAAATGTGTTTATTTTCGATGCGAAGACCCTATGAGTGAATCAATATTAATACCAAAATATGCCATCTTCAATGACCTGACAACAGTATTGTAACTATTTCCCTTCTGAATAAGTTTGTTTAAAGGTTTGGTTAGCTGTTATAACATGATGTGATGCCACAATTTGATGTACAAGATTTGTTGTTTTAAAAAGTCACATTTTCATTTAATAAAATAAAGAAAGTGATAACCAAACAAATGAAAACTGTACATGCTGTTAAACAATTTTTTCATTAGTAGACATACATTTGTGCTTGTATTCGATACATATTATGTCTTTTGATGGAATTGTTTTTCATTTGTTTTTTACGATTATGCTTACCAATTGCATACTTATAACCTGCCATATCTGAATTATAGCCTAACTGTAAGGCATCCTTACTGCCTTTGAAACCGGTCCAGTGTATACTCATTGTAGATCCTTCAATAATGAATCCATTGATTGCCTCAACTGACACAAGACCTCCAGTTGGGAAGTTTTCATCGATAACAAATCCATCACTGCAAAATTTCTGCATAGTCGATGATTTCGCACAGATGTACAAAACCCCATCCTCAACGATCTTTAGATTTCCAAAATTGACAAAACCACCAATAGTATTTTTGGAAAGTAAACTATGCGGGTCAAATGCGCATTCTTCTCCAAACGTTTTTGAATCCCTCGTTAGGTACCAAGTTATTGGCAAGTCTGCTTTGCCTAATATATAGCCACCTATTTCAACATCTTGACCTGCAAAATCCATTTCGGAATCGTGAAGTTCTGATAATTTTTCACCGATGTTCTCACTATGTTTATATGCCTGAATTATGTTGCCGAAATGACTGTTTATATTCAAATCATATAGAATATCTTTATTGAAAATATTTGGATCTCCTGAAGTTTTCACGACTGAGCACGTCTGGTAGTATGCTCCCGATTGACAGAAGGAATCTATACATACGTATAACTTTGTATAAGAATAAACAGGAAGTTCTGGGCAGAAATGATCCTGCAATGAAACATTAAAAAAACGATTTTGAAATGTCATGTTTAAATTTTGATTTTCTTACAATAATGTTATCGAAAATCGGAGAACATATTTTTTCTGAATCTGTTATCTATTTACAGACAAAGTTGACCTAAACAATTTAGCAGTTCTCGTAAGCGCCATTTTGGTTTTATGCCCTCAAACGATTCATTCTTCTTACTTCCAAACTTTTGATCTTGAGCGTGCATAATGAAGGTATTTCCAGTTTCATGTGGTGTGAGCACTGAAATCATGCCATACGTTTCATTGTTTTCGAGTAGTCATGGTACATGGTAGTTGTATTTATTGCAGTGTATATAATATTCATGTTTAAAATATTTACTTAGTTAAATTGTCGCTTTCTCCTTTGATTGCTTTTCATTTGTTTTTACCGCATGTATCCTAAGAATAATCTACATTATAAATATCTTCATAACATTAATGATATTTACACGTATTTCAATTCCTTTCCGTGTTTGGTTCCGTATGATTTTCCACGGTGATAACATATTGTGTCCCTGTTCATCTTTAAACAAAGCCCATCTATATGCAACGGCATATTCTATAACGTCCATGTTTGAACATACAAATTTTGCAGCAGTTACAGTAGTATTTGTGCACAGCTCACTTGGTATCATTGTTGTTTCTATGTTTTGATCCCTTTTCAAATTTTGAACTACAGCAAATTCCTTAGAGAAAACGTGTGCCAAGCAAATCTGTCCGAAACAAGGTTTAACGGCAGCTTTATAATATCCTTCTGTAAAATTTCCGTGAAAATAATGAACAGAAGTGTTTCTTGAATTTGTAAACATTAAGTTATGTTTACATTGATCATGTGAACTTTTGCAAACGGCAGTTAAGTAATGGCTTACAAATTTTAGATATTGTCTATCAAGTGACCAGTTAATCGGAATTAGTGTTTTCAGGGACTGTGCCGTTTGATCTGTGTCACATTTATACACTGTGATTTCTAAACTTTCGGTTACGTTGACGATATCATTGCTTAGAACAATGTATAGTTTTTTCAATGCTTTTAGTGGTACAAATTTTAGAATAAAATATTTGGATGCCTTTTGGGATCCTTTAACAAACAGGTCACTGTTAACAAGTTGAATTTTCAAATTGCTGTAAAGCGAATATACGGAACTAGGGTAAAGTGTTTCCTTTAAAAAGTGTTCCGACATATTCATTGTCATCTGTATATAATACGAGCCCTTTTTCGCCGCATCATCGCAACTGTCGCCGTGGTTAACAGCAAATGATGATATAACCAAAGTTTTGTTTATGACCCTAAATCCATCAGATGAAGTGTAGGTATAACCACCTGACCACGAGGACTTTATTGTAACAAAATAAATCTCAATGCGCTCCGCGTTCTCAATGTGCTCACATATCAACATATCTTCATTTTTAGTAATGTCATGAAATGGAACAACATTGTCAAGGTTCTGGCTAGTTCCTATGCCAGCTTGTAAGTGAACATCTTCATGGTGGTCAAATCCAATCAGAACAAAACAGTACTTAGTGTCAAAGATAATATCTGTATCGAAGTAGGGGGATTGGTGTTAGGCAAGACGTCCATCACAATACCCGTTCTTTTGGGAATCAAAGATGGCAACTGTACTTTTAAGCTTTCCGTAGTGCAGTAATGACCCGCATAGTTGTATACATGAAGGTGTGCGTAAAATAACAAATTAGGAAAGGTATCATGCTTCTGTAGTTTATGGACTGGATATTTTATGCACTGATAATCTGAACCGCATTGTCCACCGTGTGATTTAATGTTCCACGCCAAAAATGGAGTGACAAATGTATTTCTGGTTCCTACAAATGAATTGATATACATAAAATAAATATGAAACGATGATCAAAATTTAGCTTCAATACAAAAATGCATCAATAATTTGAGGGGATTCATTATAACTATTATAGATAAACGATCGGGCTAAGCGTCCGTTTTTCTTAAGGTAAGAAAAGTCAGTTCGGCATTTTATGAACTTTTTTTTAAAACAATATCTCATTAAAATCATTATGGTATTTTATGCACTGCAATGTTGTCAGGATAATAAGTGGGAGAACAATTTCTTAAAATTCAAATGAAATCGTCAACATTAAAAATTGCGTAAAGAATTAATTTGACAAATACAAAACTTATATTATATCAATATTTATCAAATCGAACCAAACATACCAAATCTAAACATTATCTTTCCAATTTCATCTATTTGCTCGGTATCAAACAAATTACTACGTGTCCAATTGATAACCACATACGTATCGTTGTCCAAGAAAGCATGTACAGTAGAAGGGCAAACAGGTGGTGTTTCATCGGCAATAACAGATCCGAACCAGACTTTCGTCTCAAGACCAGCTCTATTATGGACCTTAATAAATATGTAGATATTTTGCTCTCCAATCAAACCGGGATGGTGCTGAATGTATTGTGTAGGATGCGGAACGCTAATATAATCCAGGAGAGCTGGGTGGTCAAGTTGATTTGTATCGCTTCCAAATCCTATATAGCTATTTCCAATTTGACTAAGATCTTCCTGGATATTCCAGGACATTTCGAAAAGATCAGAAGGTGTGAAGATTGTATTTTGATTGTATCTATCAAGTTTGGTACACAAAAATGTAGAAACAGTTTCTGAATTAGCTCTCGATCTAATGTCCTCAGGCAATATTGTTAAGATACTATCCGTTGTTGTGTTCATACATATTTGCCTGCATTCATCTCCTTGTAACTTGACTTTAGATAAGATGTCTGTGATAAGCCAAGAAGTACCACTATCACAGGCAATTGTTTCCTTAATGTTGGAGTGTTTGACTGAAACATACCCTATTATAGGTACAGTTTTATCAAAGGTAATGCCATCAGAACAGACAACTATTGATGGAGTCATTGCATTATTGTAAGCTATTATTGAAACAAAATACTGCCCCTCCCCGTTCTGAAATTTTATTTTAATGGAATCATGATTAGTTTCATATATATTAACACCGTCGTGTTTCCTAGTCAAAAAGTCTTTAATTTGACTATAATATTCCCTTCCTAGAGTCACTTTATACAACTTTATGCCACTTTCGTGGTCGATAAAATCATGCCAGTGGATAGTTACCTCATCGGAATGAGTGTAATCAATGTCTGGACTTCCAATTGGGCCTTCTAAAACAACACCAACTGCCGGTGGGGAATCATCTCTAAGAATATCTAAGTGATCTAGCTTTGTTTGTTACTTTCAACGTAAAGAAGTAACGGCGATTATGGTCTCCTATATGTCTGTTATAAGTTTTAAGATTTTTCAAATCAGCTATATATGTCGTGAGAGCACATTTTCCAATTTTTGGACAATAACATTTTGATTCCATGCTACAGTTACCCTAAAAAATAAAATAACTGATTGAGGCAATATTTGATAAAAGTCTAATACGTTTATTCTGATGATTACGCAAGGTGCATACCATCTTAAAATACCAATAAATGGTGACTTAAACGAAATAAAGATACAAGGCCACCTCCACCCTTAGAAAAACAAAACAAAACAAAAAGAATTTATGCAGAGCTTAAAACGAAATTATAGTTAAAATTACCAGCACTCTGAAATGGGATAGTTGGTTTCAATAATCATATTAACAATTCATGTTTTGACATGAAATTAACCGGAATTGATGTATTATTTGTAACTTTATTCATTTTTCCGAGCTCTTGATGCATTAGCATAGGAATACAGGTTCTATAATTTCGATTATATTTTGGTAATCGAACATGTTGATTTCAGTAATTCAATATGACTGCACATTTCTCACTTATGAAGTATCAATCGTGGATAGCATCCACGTAGGAAAAAGGAAACATAAAAAATAAAAATAAAGAAATACATACGTACCATATCGAGATCAGTAACTGCAAGTGCTTTTTCTATCAAAATGGTTTTATTTTCATGTATACCAAATGCCCATTTAATTTCCTTTAGTCCGCTGTGTATATCGTAGGCCCTGAATTGGATGGACATCGTTGATAAATCTTTGCTGTAATGAACGTACAGCTGCTTGTGTTAGTGTCTATCTGTTATCCCTACATCTTGTATTTCTGGAACGGATCTATCTATATATACCATAGCACTGTCATTAAGGGTATTGTTCATTATATCCCTGGCCTGAAGGTTAAGGATGAATGTATCCCCATCGTTCTTCAAGGAATTAAGACAAATGGATTCTGATGTAATATTATTAATTCTTCCTGATAATTTAGTAACATTATTCCTATATAGTGAAAATTATTTTAAAACGTCACGAAAAATAAAGGTTTCACATTACAATTATAAATCAGGCGAGTGCATGCAAATAGTCAAAAGTAACTTAATAAAGGCAATAGTCGTATACCGCTGTTCAATAGTCATAAATCGATTTAACTGAAACAAATCCGGGCCGCAAACCAAATCTTAGGGAAACACATCAACTGTAAGAGGAAAACAAATTAAAAAAATTAAAAATAAAATAACAAACAAACAAAACAAAACAAAACCATCCGGCAACATTTATAAAGTTATCAGCAGGCGACATAGTGTGGTTATCTTCACATACTAGGCATTCTGATAGATGTGAAAGCTGATGAAAAAGATCCGACATTCTTATACCAAGATAATTATTGTCTGTCCCTTAATGACATACGATTTATTATTATTGTCATTATGTAACAATGGGTACATTTTGTACAAAATAGCCTGTAATTAGGCTGTATCACTTGCAATAAAAGTTAAATCATTATGCGATATAGCAATGTCTACTTTTAAAGAAATATGGTATCATTAAATATTAAAGCTTTCAGTCATAAGATTTCAGAAGAGATCCGTAAACAAAGTGAACAAATACTACTGTAACAGTAACAATAATTTATAAACTATCAATCTTATACAACCGAAATGAAAAGCTGACCATCTGATCAATGCTATTAAATATGAAAATTTCTAACATAAACCGATCTAAATTTAATTGATCTATGACGAGAACAAATTAGTGATGAGTAGAGTTGGAAGATTTTGTAAAATTTGCAATAAACTGAGGGAAATTCTAAAAGATCATGTTAGATCAAAGAGTATTAGGGTTCACAAAGTGTCAGAAGACAAAAGGCGATTACTACATGCATGGCTTCAGCCTGGAAAACAATTAATATTCAATATAATAAAGTATAAACATACATACTTTTCTCCATTATTACTTAGATGTTCAGAAATAGGTATCTTGAAATTCGTTTTTGAAAAGTCGGCTAATGGATTTGTTGAAGACGGATCTTTTCTAACTGAACTTTTTCCAATACCAACTGTTGACCCTTCAAGCAAAGGCATGTCAGCTTTATTATGGATAATGTTTGAAATTATTGAACAAATTGTACGCTACAGCTTTTGAAACAATGACTGTGTGATTTGAAAGAATTTCGAAATATCAACAAATTGAGGTCATTTCATATCACTTATCAGTCTCCATATGTTGATCTACGCTTGTCTTATACACTCATAGATAGTAATTAGTAGTCTCAAGCTCGAAACATACTTTATAGTGGTTCAACATAGGTTATGATACATGTGGATTTACGTGGGAGGTCAATTGTAACAGTAGTTAATATGTGCATCTCTGAGTCTGCGCAAATTATAGATATATCGAAATTTATCACGGTGTTGTTTTAAAAACTAAAGAAGCACGTTATTAGAATTAATTTTAATACATTGTGTCTTTTATTGTATTATTTAAGTTCACATGTTTCATTCTAAAAAATAATAAAATCACACACAAACATTTTATTTAATTTGTTTATATGTTTTTTTATTGCTATAAATATATTTACCTGAAACTGCGACCTTCTTCAACTCCACTTCTACGTCCGTTATTCCAAAGGCGTATTCTTTTACAAAAGCCGGTTGAGAAACAGTCTTGTCAATACTGACATGATAGTAAGCATTCAGGTTTAATAACTCAATGTTGTCAACCTGAAACCTCCCATACATATTGGATTGTTCCGAACATTTAGGTGATCCATTATTTGTCAATACATAAGACCCATTTCCATTGGCCTTTGTTAAACAACTATCTAATACAGGCTTTGTTGTCACTAAAATATATATTTGAAGTATTATCTAAAAAAAGTGTATAGATTACGACATAGCTGTATTAATTATGATAAAGAACAGCATCTCGATGTCCATCGCAACATCACATATTGTATATGTCCATGTGCAATAACTGGTAAAAAAAAGTTTCATATAATTGACAAGAAATGTAGGCCCAGATTAGCGGTAGGGTTTGGCGCATGAAACATGTTAAACCTTGCTTCTTTCTTTATGTGCATATCCGTCTCGAAAATTGACGTTGATGTAAGCAATTAAAGGTCAACATATGGCCTTCCGTAATTAGCAAAACTTGTACCGTATATATAGTAAAGACTAAAATACAAGACGGACGCCTGGCAGTCCTATTGTTTATGCACAAGGTGCGATAGAAGGAGGAAAGGAATCATTTCTAATATACAATTATGGCCTCCATCAAAAGTTAATATAACTATAATTAAATCGAGAAATCTGTATATGCTATGATAACTTTGATATCAACTTTAGATGAGACCATACATGTGTCATTATACTGAACTAAATATGAGGTAATACTTCTTTTTTGTCATTACATATTTTGTGTTTTACAGAATCGTGTGGCCTCCGCAATTTTCAAAAGACGGGTAATTATTTTAGATGTACAACAACGCACCACATATAAAACGGTTATTGTATTACGTAACATTGAGAATGGAAATTAGAGTGTACATTCTCAAACAGTTACCTTTTTATGCACAGTTTCAAGCGGGAAGGTAACTTACATTGGCATTGAGTTTTTGTTGCAGTATGTACGACTTTAAATCCAACCATGCATTGGCAACTTGTGCTGAACTCCGCCGGGCATCTTCCTGGCCAGCACCAACGGTCATTCCATGAACATTTGTCTGCAAAAATAATTATCATGTCCGTCATTACTGTGACTATAAGAGTCCTCCACTTTCTCTATGTTTAATAAACGTATGCTGTATCCGGGCAACCCAAATTTAATGTAAGATTTATCTTAAAACATTATGAACAATAATCAGTACATGCAGAAGATCCTCACCAACATTTGGTGTGATTGGTCTAGTTAAATGAAACATTTATGTTTGAGTGTGACAGAATCTCTGTTCGTTTCAAGTTGAATAGATTTGTGGGTACCAGGCATTCAACACTAGATACAGTAATTGTATCAACTCTTTCTGAGAGTACTTTATACAGTCACGAATGAATACGAATATAGGTAATAAAATATTTTGAAGCTTGTTCTCATTAAAATCTGAACTTCTTCATCACGGATTTTGGACTTCACATTATATTTGATTGTTGTTCTTAACTAGGTCATCGTTTCGATTGTCTCAGTTTCCCAACTGCTATAAATATTGATATTTTAATTCTGTCAAAAAAACGAACGTTTCTTCTTATGCCTATCCGACACATTTCCGTAAAATTATGGATGTAACGTTGGAACCAAGAAACGTGTGATGTATTCATAGCAAGGGTTGTGAATCCTGTCTACGCTCCTGGAATTAATACTAGTCTGATTGTTTTAACTACCTTGTTGGTTTGGTAACTGGATATAATTGAACATCGATAAACGGTCTTTTGTTTTGTTGTTGATTTTAATTATTCGGATACGGATTGTTTATTTTACATGTCGTATAACTTGTGCAAATCGGTTGTTTTCGTAAAATAATCTGTTCACAGTCAGGAATATTTCAGTTGCTAGTAGTTATTGATTCGAGTCGTTTTCAATGAATAAAAGCTTATATCACCGGCACTTTTGTAACGTCACTTCGTAGTGTCCAATGTTACCTTGCACTCTGGCTAATAGGCTTTATTCGACATTGGCTTTTCTGTCTGTGTCCGTTTTCAATTTGTTTTCATGCACATACAATCTTGTATATACTCAACAAATCTTGTTTCAAACAATTATAATGAGGGCTATTTAAGATACACGTGTCTTGCTTACAAATATCGGTTTAATATTTTGCCAAACTAGGGTCTGTACCGTTGCTTTTCATGTTTTGGTGTGTTGGGAAGTAGACTTACATGGAAATGGGGACATTAATAAAGTTCTTGCAGCAAGGCCATGTGCCGCAATCATCTAATGCAACTAAAGGGAATTGCTAATTTGAGAACATAAAAGTTAACAATGAAGTTATCATGCGTTCCTGAAATAACTTTTACATCATTTTTTGTGTATTTTTATGCCGCAGTAGCCTAACTAATATCATGCTTTCTTTTATCGTGTTTATTTGTGACATCCTTAAAAGTCCAAACCATTTTTCATATGACACTGACCATTCATATTTTTTTCTTATCAGGTGGACGGAGATATTTCATGAGACAAACACTCTATTTCGACTGGATACATTTTTCTGGTTTGGAGTACTTTGATTTGAATATCGGAATCAATGTATTGTTTTCACTTTCCTTTTAACATTTCTTATTTATGAAATCTGGACTAACATTCAAATAAACTTATCTACCCCCCTCAGTTCTCCGACGTTTAATGTTGGCACTATCTAACTTATATAAACAGTCTTACTGTATGTTGTCTTGCTTAATCTAAACATTATAACAAATCTTCACCTTACACTGTTTTGACGAAACTTACTTCTATAAAATAACCTTACCTTTACACTGTTTTGACGAATCTAACTTGTATAAATAATTATTTGTACATTTTGTACAACCCCTAGATGCAGTATAATTACAACTGACGTTCACACAGTTTGGAAAATTTGGCATAAGTATGCTGCAATCTGGAATCGAAGTGTAAAAACAATAGTTGAAAATAGTTTACATATATTTCATTTACGCTAAAACAAATCTGGATTAAACACGAATTGTACAAAACAAACTCGTGCTTTGTTCTTTTATATAAAATCCAACTTGTGTAACTGTACATGTTTTACTGTTTTATTCGCTTTCTTTGCATCATTGTCATTATAAAAGATACTGATTGTATTTGCTATTCACATATTCAGCTGCCATACTCACTGATCTTTAATATATGCATTCGAAGTGATTTTGTTCAATGTTTTGTATTATCTGGTTTACCAGTTTCTCTTAAATATTAAGATCTTAAACAGAACATTTATATGTATACCTCTATATACACTTTGCCTATAATTTTCTCCACCACATTTGTTCAATCTATCTCCAGGGCATGGGTCGTTACATTCATTTTCACCCCGCATAGGGAATTGGCCGGTGTTTGGGTAATCATTGCCACAAAAACAATGAATGGCAGACTAAAACATATAAATATTCCATAGTTATACATTTAAATCGCTAAAAATAATGCAATTCTCTGACGTAAGACCTTTGATATTGTAAAAACAATGTCGTATAAATTCTTAAATCATAGTATTACAATCACAATCACTATACAGAATTCATAATAAAACAATCTATAGATTTATAATAAGCGAGTTAATCATTTAAAATAGCACAAAGAAAATTTTTTTAAAAAAATTGTAAGAAATCTAACATAAATTGTTCAATATTATTAAGATCGTGAATATTATTGTAGTTTTTTTAATCGTTGGCTAGAATGAGAAAAAAACAATCTGTATTTGATTGGTACACTACAAATAAAAAATAAAACATGTCATTTGTAGTAGCGTATGACAAATTTGTGGACGTATTTTGATGCATGTGCCAAATTTCTATCATCACTTTTTACTTAAAATGACATGTACAAGACTAGTTTGATCTGACATCCTAGTTTTAATATGATTTTAAACGCAAACAACTTACTCATGCACATGTTAACAGTTTTCTCTTTTTTTACATGTCCCTTTTTACCTACGTTCATTATTTCGATGGTAGAAGACAAATGATGCCGAGTATGGTGAGTTTTAATTAAATTAAAGAATGTGGTACATGGCTGGAATAATTGAAAGCAATTATCTGTGCCGTGATACTTTCATTTACTATATTTTTCTTCAACCCTTTATGCACCATGTTTACCCTGCTGAAAAATGAACAGGCCAAAATTTGGAATTAAAGAACATATGAGGTTAAAAGTAAAATAACAAAAATACTGAACTCCAAGGTTCATGAGTCAGCAATCCAACGACATAATAAATCAAAAATACACTGAATGTATGCTAGTCGATATATACCTGGAAATAGGTTTATTTGACCTAAAAATAGCATTTCCGTGTATCATTTAAAAGAGTAAAGTATGAGCAACAGTTTAAACACTGTCCCAGAGAGTTTCATTAGTTCAGTACTCTGTGTCGTTGTATTGACATTATTAAGATCAATTTTTGGTAAATTTCCCTGTTGATTGATAAATAAATTAGTAAGTTTAGAAACTAGATTTCTTATTCCGTATGGCAAAGTCGACCATAGATGAACCTGGGTATTCTATGTTGGTCCCTTGTAGTTGTATAGCTCCTAACGTTTCTAAATATTCATTCATATACTGCTTTCTAATGTTTTGGTTTTAACGTTTCTGGATAAGTCAATCCAGAAAAAAAGCATTGGACGCATGAACTTTAGCGATATATTTGTTTTCCATTTTCTCTCGTCAACATTTCTATGTAAGTTGAACGGACGCAATAAATATGCCCTTCTCAGCTTAACCTGGTACCTATAGATTTCAAAATTACGTCTCTTATGCAATTTTTAGGTTTTTTTTTCTTCGTAAAACTAATTTTAAGTAATAAAAAGAAAATAAAAGTTGATAAATCGAATTCAAAATTATTTGTGTTAATGTCTGACAGACCATGGAAGTGCTATATTCGCCATGGACTGAATAATGTTTTCTGGACAATTTAAAATATTTATCATTATAACTTATTTTAATGCCTTCTCATTTTTTGGCCAAACATGTCTCAATCTATCCAAGTCTTTTCGTATTCGTGATTTGTAGTTTAAATAAATATGTACTAAATTTGTTCTCCTGAAACAATGTTGTAAGGTATAATTACCTGTAGTCCGCTGTAGACATAATTGTTTGATGCACAATATCTAAAACATCTTTGCAATGACATATCCCTATCAATAAGACCATGATTTCCAAACTTGGGGTCGTTTGGAAAGGGAAACATTCTTGTTGGATCATCATTGAAACATCCAACATAGACTGAAATAATAACACCACTGCTAAAAACATCCAACATAGACTGAAATAATAATACCACTGCTAAAACATCCAACATAGATTGAAATAATAATACCACTTCTAAAGACATCCAACATGGACTGAAATATTAATACCACTGCTAAAACTTTCAACATCGACTGAAATAATATTACCACTGCTATAAACATCCAACATAGACTGACATATTAATACCATTGCCTTGAAACATCCTACATAAACTGAAATAATAATACCACTGCTAAAAGTTGGTTCTTGATCAGATTCCTGTAAATGCTTATGTTAGTTGACAAGTCTAGTAGACCACATTCATGTTCTAAAATTGTTTAGCCAAAACTACATACACACTCAATTAATATCATCTTACGGAATATGTAAGCATCGATGGTCACGATACCAATTACGACCACCTGCAGGTGAAAATTTAACACATTTGTAAAGACAAATACCCTATGTTAATACATTTCAGTCTCTTAAATCGGTCTCAAATGTTGATGGTACTACCAATAGGTCGTTAGCGCAGCGAAGGTTTTCTTATTTTGAGTTTCCAAGATAATTTTCAAAACTATCTTTAGAATTATGGGTACTACATGTAGAGTAGAATCTTAAACTTCGGACATCAGTGATGACACCTGATTTTTGGTGGGATGGTCTCTTGGTTTTTTTTTCAGTTTTCTGTGCAGTGTTCTGTAGACTGTTGGTTGTCTTATCTATGTTGACGGTCTTTCTTTGGTTCATGAGTTCATGAGTTTTCATTATTTTTTTTTG